ATTGGAATGGACGTGCGGGACCACCGGTCAGCTGGACCAGAGGTGCCCAGCTCAGATCCAAGTTGGAGGATGTCCACCTTGGGTAAAAGGAAATTGGGAGCCTGGGGTCTCACTTGGTGGTAGACTTTAGCGTATGGGAGGCCCTGGGTTCCATCCCACGCACCACCAGGAAAGAAAAAAAAATTTTTTTTTCCAAGCCTGGCATGGTGGTACACACATGTGGACCCAGCAGCTCGGGAGGCTGAGGCAGGAAGATGGCTTGAGCCCAGGAATTCAAGGCCACTGAGCAACATAGTGAGACCCCCATCTCAAAAATAAATAAATAAATGAATAAAGTCAGGTGGGGCAGGGCTGGATGTCAGCTTTGCTTGAGCTACACGATCCTGAACCTTCAGGAGATCAAGAAGAGGGCACCGCTTTGGGTTCAGCAGGGTAAACTTTCCAGCCCCCATGGTTGACCTTGACCCTGTGCCATGTCCCCAGCATTTATTCTACCCAAATGACGAGGCCCAGCCTGGGATTTCCATTTCCCTCTCCTGTGATGGGTTCCCTGGCAGTCACGTGGTCAAGGGATGGGAACACCTGTTGGGGCTTCTGGGAACACTTCCCTCCTCCTGGGAACCCCCCGCAGCTAGAGAGAGTCAGGCCCCAGGATGTCAGATCCGAGTTGGCAAGAAGGACAGCCCGCGGCCCCTGGAGCGTGCCCTCGCTGGGACGTCTGAGGATGTGAGATACTGACTTTCTTACTGTTGAAGCCCACGAAGCCCGCTAAAACGGGGACCGTCACTTGCAGCCGAGAGCATCCTCCTCGTCAGACTAACAGCCTTGCCCTTCCCTGAGCATCACAGAGATCATAATGGCCTCATAAGAGGCCTAGGCTGTCAGGACCCAGCTCTGTCTTGACTCCCCCACAGCCACTTCCACCTCCAGGGCACCCAGATGCCAGGATCACGGTCAGGCCCTTCGGATCCCGTCAGCTGGGAGCAGGGGCCTGGCAGACTCCTCTTTCCAGAATGAGTGTTTCCTGGGGGCCTCCGATGGCTCTTCCTCGGGTCTGGTTTTTATATGATTTTCCTGCAAGTCTGGAAGACCTGGTTGTGTGTGTCAGCCCCAGTGACAGACAAGGACTTCCAGGGGCCCCCTTGAAAAATGGGTGATTACAAAGCAAACCAGCAAAGACCAGATGATGACCAAGGTCACGGTGGGTGGAGGGGAACCTGTAGGCAGCACGGAGGGGCGGGTGTCAGAGGGTGCAGCTGCTGTAGGAGGCAGTTTGGGGGCTCTGGAGAAGGTTCAGTGTGGAATCCCCAGCTGACCCAGCAGGCCCAGTCCTGGTGTGGACCCGCGAAGGCTGAAGCCCTGGTTACCTCTGTCGGTCCCATCCAGGTGAACCCCTGCGATGTGCCGGTCGTGAGCCAGGTGGATGTAGAGACAGAACCTTAGATCCCAGGGAGCTCAAAGTCCAGGGGGGAAGAGAGGAGAAACAGGCACTTGTCCCAGTGAGATACTCATCAGGACCCGCTGTATGACTTGCCAGACCAGGGCGAAATAAGAATAAGGGTAGCCACTTGTTGAAAGATCATTAAGAATCCAAGAGGGCGACCATGGAGGATCGTGTCGGCCTCAACTGCTGGGAAGTGACCAATGTGACTGCCCTGGGCTCCTGCCCA